AAATCTGAGAGGGGTGCAATGTACATGGAACATCCCAACACTATTTTTATGCTGCTTCTTACAGCATAAAATGGTTTTGAATGTACATGTTGCTCCAATAATAATTTGGATTTTTTAAAATAAGATGCACTTTCCCATTAAGAAATTACAAAAAAATCAGTAAGTGATGTATCTTGGTATCTTAAAAGACCTTGTTGTGTAAGATCAGTATGTTGGGGCTGAGAGGAAATGGCCTGTCCTTATTGTCCCAGTGAGACAGCATTGTCATGCAGCAATGCCCTAGGGGAGGGTGTTGGAGCAACAACATGCTCCAGGATGCCAGACCCGGACTCACCACATAGCTGCGAGAATAGGATTGCTTTCTGCTCCAGTTTCAAGTCCTGGATTTTTTCAACCCAGGTACACAATCACTTTGTCTCTAGATGTCTTTGCTGATCATGTGTTTACAAACAGTAAGCAGTGTTTCTAGGGCTACCTACAGGCAGTGTTGGGTGCCAGGAGCAGAGCTGGGCACTGGATGATGAGTAAGTGGATCACGTAGGTCTGGCAGGAGGTGAGTTAGGAGGAGCTGCTCCTGCCCCCACTACCAACTTCTGTGGGCTCCAGCTGGACCCCCCAGCAGCAGAGGACCACACAGCCTGAGAAGATGCCACACTTTGTGCTGAGAAGTCAGAAAACCACCCTCAGACTGCCATCACCAGAGTGGCATCTGATACACATACTTTTGACAAATAAAATTTTTTTTGCAAAATAAAATCAAGGTGAAATACATCTGGATACCTTTATCTGCATTTATCATCCATTCAAAGTGGATGTAAATTTTTTCTAGATTGTGGTTAAACTAGTCTATCCTCTCAAATGGCTACTCTTTTTCAATTAAATGAATCCACTTTACCTCTTCATCTGAAGTTTGGTTGTGATGCCTGTCAGCTCTGGGCACTTTCATTTTCAAAACAAAGACTTTTTGTAAACCAGCCTTACACAATCCAAGAGCATGGATACCATGCTGAAAAGAGAGGAGAGGATGCCATTTTCCTAGCAATGATAAGAAGTAGGTTCTTTCATGTGAATTAGCAGCTTAAGATAAAAATACTAAGGCAGAGAAGATTTACCAAATCTTAAAAAGCACAGCCTGTGTGCCTTTTCACTATTTTACCCTGTGTTAGCCAACATGAAGTAAGACCACAGCTTATTTTTTTCCTCATGAATGCAAGACTCAAGGAATTTATGTTTATTCCAGGGAAGAGCTCTAGGAAATGTGTCTGTGAACTAACCTTGGGTGTGACCCCTCCATTCAGAATTCATCATATGTTTTCTATTAAGACAAAACCCTCTTGACACTGTAATTCTTTCTTCTTCCATTCTGAATCCACAGCTTGTGACTGAAACCACTTCCCACACCTTGCAGAAGGTGCGTAACTCCGGCTTTCCCACACGTTCCCCTGGCAAAGTCATTTTGGGCTCTCCAGGCAAAAATCTGCAGCACAATTCAGAACAAGCAAGAAATAAATAGCCCAAAGAACACTGCACTCATAGTACTGTTTATCATCAGAGTTAGCACAGGCTTTCAGTTTACTCAAATTTAACACAGAGAGCAGGCCCTGTAAGGAGAGGGAATATCCTCATATCCTCCACTTTTCTAAAACACTATTTCTTGAATAACAAACCTTTTTTTGCTCATATTTAATTCCTGTTTGGTAGTCAAAATCTTTGTAAGGGCTGCGTAAGGTCAGTCTCTTAAAAACACGCCTCACTTCACCTTTCTAAGCACCGATGGGGGTACATGTAGGCACACTGGGCCACATGCAGAGGACATGTATTCCTGCATGAAACGTTCCCTGCTGCTTCAGGCCCCTGCAGGCACCTCACCAGCTTCCTGCCAGGACATCTCAGTGCTTCCACTGCCATTCTCATGCCTCAGGTCACTCAGAATAACCCACCTCCCGAGCTAGAGTACTGGGAAACCCAGGGTAGATGCAGACCCACAAAAACAGACTCCATCCAAGGAGAAAAGCATTAAGCTCTTTAGTGAATCCTGTTTTACCTGGCTTTTTCCCACTTTCTGGGGTAGCCCAGCCTCCTATTGACCTAGATAATGGGAAGATGATTATTCATTTGAATTTCAAAAGAACGAGTAGTGGGCTGTTAGCTCTAACTGCTGCACTCCAATAAGAATATACATGCATACATACAATTACTGAACAGCTTTTAGAACATAAAATTATTTAATTTTAACAGTAATATCTACTTATTCATGTACGCGTTTAATCAGATTTCTAAAATCCTCGAGATTTTTTTTTTGTTTTATAGAGTGTGGCTATTATTTGTCGGTCTGTTTTCAGCTTCATTATCTTCCTAGCGCTACCCTTAAAATACAACAAAAACCAACCAAAACATAACATGAATAAGCATGAGAAAACAGTAATGCTGTTTATATTTAACAGATCACTTTTGAGGAAAAATTGAAATGCTGCCAAGACACTGCCAACACAAAAATAGAAAAGTAGGATTTATGAAAATTATCTGATGCCCATAGTATTAACACACATCTTCACAGGGACACACATGAGGGAGTGGAAATATCCCAGAAGTCTGGTGTAATGACAGTGGATTCAAATGACACCAAAGCTTTATTAAAAATTATCTCACCCGATCTTAATGTGTTAAATGTCAGATTCTGTCACCCTGGCATATTGAGTCCCAGTCTTATCAATATTGATTATATGCCTTCCATTGCAATTGAGTGAAAATTTTCCAAAATAGTTTATGGCTTTTGTAAAATGATTTGAAAAAAAATAGCAGTACTTTGTGAAAACTCATTGATTTTATTCATTTCACAGGAAATAAAGATTCAATTTTCATTTCATCAGCTTGAATTTTATGCAACTATATGACATAATGAAATCTCCCATAAATGCCAACAACAAATTAAAACATTTTGACACTCTTCATTTTGCAAAATTACACTATTATTTCTATCTGGATTTAAAATGCATGTAAAAACTGCAGTTCTCTCACTAGGTATCTGAATACTGGTACTTAGAGAGGAATACTGTAAGTATTAGTAAGAAATAGGTTTAGGTGAGACATTGGTATTCTGCTGTCAACCTTGCAAAGGTCCCAGCAGTATCAAAGCTGCCTTCCCAAGGCAGTCAGGCACCTACACACTCCCGAGACTCCTGCCCACGTCATCGTTACAAGAAACATCCTCTCAATTTTTTACAAAATCCTGCTGACACAGAAGGCTCTACAGTGTGCCCAGTCTGAGCCAATAGAGATTCCTGCTCGCCCAGATGGAGCAGGAAGTGCCACACTCACAGTCCTCTCGGAAGGAATGCCCTGTCCTGCCAAGAGCCCTCCCCGGAGACCACAGCGACCACAGCTGCGACAGGAACTCGGGCACTCCCTCCCAGAGGTACTGCACCCTCTTCTCATGTGGTTTCTCTACATTTTAACATTTTATGACAGGTTGAGAAACCTGCCAGTCAAATTTTCCGTTTTTTCCCCTGTGTCTTAAAGGATGGACATTATTATGGAGCTAGATTGTACCATGAAGTGCAGTCAGAAGAACAGAGAAAGGTGGCAACGAGCCTCAGAGCAGAAATCATGGCTGGGCACAGTCCTGGAGAGGCAGAGCACTAATTTTCAAACCCCATCTTTACAATGAAGTAACTGAACCTTCTTCAGCTCTGCCCTTTTCCTTCCCCCTGCTCTGTACACCCAGCTGGGGTCGGGCAAGGAAGGTGACACAACACCATGTATCTGTCTCAAATGTATCCTTCAAGCTCCACCTGACTCCTGACAAGCGCAGCCCTAACCTATCCCCACAGCTAAAAGGGGTGTGTGACGTTTTGGGTTTTTTTGGTTTTGTTCCTGTAACAGCACTAGCCACTCTGCAGCCCTATGATATCAGAGTCACATCATCCAAACACAGTAATTTTGCTGTAGACTGAGGAAAATGAACCATTGGGACAATTAGATGATGCGACAGGGTACGTACTGCCCCATTAGCACCAGTTCATAGATGTGCTCGGGCAGAGGAGAGGCTGCGCTCATTCCTCTCACTGTCATTACGTCCCTATACAGACAGCAACCATCACAAAACTTATTAAACTTTCCCTTTTCTAATAACTGCAAAGGTAGCTGGAAAAGCACAAAGGAATGCATAAAACAGTATGTGAACTCGTTTCCAGCATACTTTTTGCAATTAAAATGACCACAGGTGCGCAGCACGCTGTCAACCTTTGGATTTTAGATATTCTGTGATAAAATCAAACACGGGATTATCCGGATAGGTGTATCCCCTACAGCGTCCTGAATAACTCGGTGTTTCCGAGAAAACAAACGCACAAACAAACAAACAGAAAATCATCACTGTTTGATGCTTTGGGGAAGGTGTCTTTATCCTCTGCCTACCCCACGCGCTCAGTGCCTCCAGGTGGGTGCGACGATTCCCACGTCCCTCCTGCGGACAGCCCGGGCCCCCCGGGGGACAGGGGGAGCTCCCCCAGCCCGGTCACCGCCGACCAGCAGGCCGCAGCCACCGAGGCACCGTCCGCATCCGCAGGGAACCGGGAGCGCACCAGGCTCTACCCTGCGTCCCCCCAGCCCCGTTCTTTACCGAGCAGACACCGAAACAAGCCCTGGGAGGCCAGGGAACCGAGGCGCCCGCGGGGTGCAGGGGAGCAGGAGCCATGTGCGGAGCGCGGAGCACGCCATGCCCGCCGAGGCGCGCCCGAGCCACGCGGGGCTCCGCGGCCTCCGGAGGGAACGAGACACGGGGGAGCCGCTGCCCCGCGCCGCTCCGCGCCCGGCGGCGGGGGCCAGCGAACGAAGTCCCCCCACGGCGGCACTGCCGACCCCCGGGCGGAGGGGAGGACAGGACTGGGCCGAGCCGGGCGGGACCGGGTCCGCCGGGAGCCGCGGAGCGCCGGCGGCGCCTCCTCCCCGCGCGGGGGTGTGTCAGCGCCCGGCGAGGGGGGCGTGGCGGCGGGCGGCGCCGAGCGGCGCCATTGGCCGGCGGCGGCAGTGATGTCACCCATATGAGGCGCTGATAACGCGCGAGGCGCGGAGCCGGGAGTTTCGCAGAGCGGGCAGCGCGCGCAGGGCGGGCGGCGGCGGCGCGAGGCCGGGGACGGGCACAGCGCGCGCCCAGCGCACCAGCCCAGCCGCAGCCGCGGCGCCCGCCCGGCCCCGCCTCGCTGCGCGGCGCGCTGGGGAGCTCGCAGCAGGGGCAAGGTGCGGCGGTGGGAGGGGGCGGCGGCGGAGCGGCTTTGTTGGCTCGGAGGGGAGCGGCGCCTCGGCGAGAGCCCACCATGGTGCAGCAGGCGGAGAGTACGGAGGCGGAGAGCAACCTGCCCCGGGAAGCGATGGACACCGAAGAGGGCGAGTTCATGGCTTGCAGCCCCGTCGCTTTAGACGAGAGCGACCCGGACTGGTGCAAAACGGCGTCGGGGCACATAAAGAGACCGATGAACGCGTTCATGGTGTGGTCCAAGATCGAGCGGAGAAAAATCATGGAGCAGTCGCCGGACATGCACAACGCGGAGATCTCCAAGCGCCTGGGCAAGCGGTGGAAAATGCTGAAGGACAGCGAGAAGATCCCGTTCATCCGGGAGGCGGAGAGGCTGCGGCTCAAGCACATGGCTGATTACCCCGACTACAAGTACCGTCCCAGGAAAAAGCCCAAAATGGACCCGTCGGCCAAGCCCAACGCCAGCCAAAGTCCCGAGAAAAACGCGCCCGCCAGCAGCGGCGGCAGCAAGAGCGCCAAGAGCTCCAGCAAGAAGTGCAGCAAGCTGAAAGCCTCCTCCGGCTCCTCGCCTCCCAAGCCGGGAGCCAAAACCGCCCACCACGGGGACTACGCGGGAGACGAGTACGTCTTCGGCACCCTGAAAGTGAGCAGTAAGACGGTCAAGTGCGTCTTCATGGACGAGGAGGAGGATGAGGAGGAGGACGAGGACGAGCTGCAGCTGCGGATCAAGCAGGAGGCGGAGGAGGAGGACGAGGATGAGGAGCCGGGGCCGCAGCAGCTGCGGCGGTACAACGTGGCCAAAGTGCCGGCCAGCCCCACCTTGAGCTCCTCGGCGGAGTCCACCGAGGGGGCCAGCCTGTACGAGGAGGTGCGGGGCGGCGCCGCGGCGGCGGGCGGCGGCAGCAGACTCTACTACAGCTTCAAGAACATCACCAAGCAGGGCCCGCCGCCGCCGCAGCAGCCGCCCGGCCTCTCCCCGGCCTCCTCCCGGTCCATCTCCACCTCGTCGGCCGGCAGCGAGGAGGCGGACGACCTGCTCTTCGACCTCAGCCTCAACTTCTCCCAGCACGGCCACGCCGCCGCCGAGCTGGGGGCGGGCGCCGCCGGCGGCAACCTCTCCCTCTCGCTGGTGGACAAGGACCTGGACTCCTTCAGCGAGGGCAGCCTTGGCTCCCACTTCGAATTCCCCGACTACTGTACCCCGGAGCTGAGCGAGATGATCGCGGGCGACTGGCTGGAAGCAAACTTCTCCGACCTGGTGTTCACGTACTGAGCGGGGGCGGCGGCCAGGGCGGGCGGCGAGAGCGGCGGAGCTGCAGCGGCGCGACGCCGGCGATGATGATGATGATCATGATCATGATTAAAAAAAAAAGTCTTGTTTTCTTTAAAAAAAATCTCGAAGTTAGTTCCGAGCCCGGGAGTTGTGATTTTATTTTTCTTTTTAAATTTTTTTTGGTTTTTTTTTTTTAATTTTTATTATGTTTGGTGATCACAACAACAACAGCAAAGGCAAATGGGACTGGGGGAAAAATGATACAGAAGGCGCTGTTTGAAGCTTGTCGGTCTCTGATTGAAGTCTGGAAGATGGTCTGCAAAGAAGTCTTTTGGCAGCACAACTGTTACTCAAGGGGGTTTGTGGATTTTTATTTTTTTTTCCCGTGAGAGATCTTAATGAACTGTTATGATTTTTTTTTTTTTCCGAAAGGGACCATTGCAACTTTTTTTGGAGGGAGAAAACTGATGTCTTCTATGCATCCGATTTTTAACAAAGCTGCAGGGAGCTTGAAAAAATGCAGACTGTACAAACGCTTACAAATAACTGAACTGACTTAAGATCAGAGTTTACTTTTCAGATCAAATTGTTTATGGTTTTACAAATGTGATTTCTACTTGCCAACTTTTTTTTTTTGTAACTTGTTCCCTTATACCTCCTTGATTGAATACCAGACAGCCTAGACCTCAGTACAAAAAGGTATTGAAACATTTTTGATACATAACAGACCTCAGTCTTTTTTAAAAATTAATATATTTTCAGGCGTATTTTTGTACAGTGAAAAGGGAACATTCTTGCTGTGTTTTTTCAGTAAGACTTTTCAGGCACTTCTTCCCTTTTATTTTCTTTGTTTTTCTCTGTTTTTAGCATGCAAGTTTGTTGGTACGTTACGTCCTGGTTTTAAAAGGATTAAAATTTTAAAAAATAATCCTTGCATCTAAAGGCCTTGTGGTTTAAAGAAAAAGAAACAAACACTTTTTTTGTACAGCTATAGTTCAGATTTGTTCAATATTTGTAGGTAAAGATTTATTGAAAATGGTGATATAGACCTCAGAGCTGTTATCTTAGTTTAAAAGATTGTATATGTACTGTACTATAGTAGGATTTTATGTATCTCATACGCTGTGATATGTGGATGGGGCCCCAGATGGAAGGTATGAAACTGGATTCTCGATTTTAGCAAAAAAAAAAAAAGAAAAAAGGCACATAGTTTAAAAAGTTTCTCATGTTGTGCAATATAATCTAAAGTACAGACCATCTGCATATTTTGTAGCAAATGATGGCAAAAGCAGACTTGTGCACTGTCAACATCATAGCCTGTTTTTTTTTTTTTTTTTAAATGCTGAAAGTCTGTATCTTTACAATTTTAATAAATCAGCTGGAACTGATAGAAACTCGTATCGCAATTAGTGTCTGTAGCAGTGACGCTGGAGATGCCGTGTTGTCACCCCTCGCCCGCGGAGGAGCGGTAGCTGTAGGCTGTAGTGCATGAGCAGAGCTAGGGGGGGAGGAGAGTCAGGACTGCTTCTTTTCCTTTTTTCCCTCCTCTCGTCGCCTTTTTCCCACCGGCTTTGCTCCGCGGGGCCGGGGTTTGCTTGCTGCTTGCCCGGGGCCGCTCCGGGCAGCGGCAGGCTGGCTCGCCCCGGGCATTTTCGGCTCCGCCGCCTCCCCCCGCCCTGCGGCGGGGATGAGCCCCGCTCCTGGGGGCGGCCCGGGCCCCGCAGCCCTTTGCGGGGCGGGGGGCTCCGCTGCGGGGCCGGCTGCCGCTCTCGCCGCCGCCGCCGGGAAGGCGACTCTCCCCCCTCTGCATGCTCCCGGTCTTCTCCCCGCTGGGCTTTTTCCTCCCCTCTCCCGTTTGTGATGAATACCCTGGGCCGGACTCGAGGTGGAGATGCTGAGGGTAGCGGTGCTGCATCTCCTCCGCCCCGGGCAGCGCTCGGCCCGCCGGGGTGGCCCCGGAGAGCCGCCCGCCGCTCCGGGCAGGCAGGGCAGGGCAGGGGGTACCAGCTTCGGCTGTAGGTAAGCAGACTTTGTCAGTGTGCTTTTTTTTTTTTTTTTTTTTTTTGACTTTAGCAGCCATCGGATTTCAGTTGTGTGCTCTGAAATAGCTGCTGATGGCAATAAACAGACTCACGAGGTGGAAGTTTGTTTCTCAAGAAGTTTACTTTTTTATCTGATAGGCATTGGTAAATTATTACTACTTTTTTTTTTTTCTCCGATAATTAATGATCCAGCTGTTTACAGGGACAATTCACTGTGCTGGTATTTTGGTGGCAACCACTGCTACAGGCTTTCAGACTTGCTGAAATGAAAATCCTGCATACGCATTTGTAAGGCATAATAAAACATAACATTAAAACCTGCATGCATGTTATGTTTAATCAAAGACAACTCTTAGGCATTTAAGTGGTGAGATATCTTACTTTAGGTTAGTTAAACTGGTAGTAAAATGATTAATATAATCTGATCTCTTTCTAATAATAATAATAATAAAACACTCATGATTCTAAATAAAAGTTGTTTGGCCTAAATCTTTGCTATCAGAAAAGAGATATAGCATATCTGGGAACTCAAATTTATGTCTTGCATTGTGATAATTCTTTATGAGAAACTGTGTTTTAAAACAAACTTAATTACAATATACAAGATATCCTTGGCAATGGATAGTCCTCAATAAAACAGAGTTTCTTGAATTTTCAGTTTTTGGTCTCAAATGATTAGTGTGTTCTCCATGTAATAACTTAGAAATCAGATTGAAAACAAATGACATTTATCTCTTCTAAGGCAAAAGACTGAAAGAAAATAGTTACACTGAAGTGCTCTAGTCTAGCCATTCACTGCTATTGAAAATCCTGTCTTGGGCTAGGGTGATGGAGTAAGTTGATCAGGTTCTAAGTCTTAAAACTGAGCCAAAATTCTCTTAGTAATTCTTCAAGCTATCATGAGGGTAGGGTGACTTGTTCTTTCAGTCCCTTTCTTCTGATATGCATCCTTGTTTATTAAAGTGATAATAGGCAGTGTCATTAAACATTTGTGCTTTACAGATGTTCAATGAGTTATGAATGATTATGGTCAAATACAGGCTGCATTTAGTTAGCATTGTAATAAGGTCTGTGTCTCAGCCTACAAAAGTTTTGACTTGCATATATTTTTGGAAGCTGATTTTAAAATTACCATTTAAAATATAACTCAAGGATAGATTATTTAAACGATCCAATTAAAGAGCAGTCAGGCATATTTTAAAAGAGCAACAGGTCTACTTTAGTCAAAGAATATAATACCCACTCAAAAGTATATCTTTTCTTTCTTCTGAATGGGAATTATACTGTACTATATCAGAGAAATATTTTGAGTGAAGGTATATGGTGCAGGGAAATAATTGTTTGGCCAATCACTTGAGTTACTTTTATTTTAGAGTTTGTTATTGCATATTGTTCAAGGAAAAACTAGCCAGTGTTCTGTTTAAGCCACTGCATAGTTAGGGCTGAAGTTTGATGCTGTTGAATGCCTAAGCTCCTACTGGTCTCAGTGAGAGTGAAAAATAATCTTCTACTCATGAAAAATAGCATCTGCTAAGCTACTCTTTTTTATTTTGTCATTAATAATATTCATGCCTTCTGTTTCTCTTTCCTTTTTTTTGTTTTCTGTGTACATAGGAATCTTTGTTGACTTGCTAGAGCAGTCCTGTTGCAGGCCTGGTTTCTCCCGTGGCCTTTTTCCCCACATTCCTTGCATGTGTCTCTGTACAATACTACTCTATGTGTAAGAGGACTCAGTGATAGAAGGGAGGAAATTTCCTTACTAACACTGAGGATGTCAACTCAATGTAAAACCTAATCAAACATGCTGATTCTTTCTATCTTTAAGGTGAACGTTTTTTGCAAGCTTTTTTTCCCCCTTTTGATGTTTTTATTCTGTTTTTTCCCTTCCTTTTAAAATAACCACAATTAAGAAATATTTTCTTTAAGTGCAGTCTTTTACAAATGTGGTAGAAAAGCTCATTCCAAGCATCCTTTAAGTGCTTTGTGCTCTTTAGGCATTCACTGACATTCAGATGAAACTTCAAGTCTATTGAATGTGATTTGCATGCGTGCAGTATGATCCTGCACTCCTGCCTTTTTGAGGAAAGTGCAACTCTGTTGTTACCCAGGGGAAACTGATGTGGGGTCAAAGTCAGGGCCATATAAGTTTTAGGTGTTTGATAATCAAGACAGTTCATGGATTCTGTTTTACATCTTCACAATTGTTGCCTAGTAAGGCCTTAAACCTGCTCTGGTTAAAAAAAAAAAAAAATTCTCATTGAGCTTAATGGGAGTTTTTGCCACAAGGGCTGCTGGCAGGATAGGTGTCTTATCTCCTCCTAACCTTCATTTGTAAGAATGGCCAGGAAAAAATAAACAACAAAAACTTAATACAATGAGTTGCCTTACATTTCCCCTACTATACAGTTGTATTTCTTTGATTAATTTCCTTTCCCCTCACTCACATCCAAGGCTGTGATTGTTTTTTTTTTAAATTTTTTTGCACACTACCTATACCAATTAACTGCCTAATTAGTTTTATCTTCTCTACATGGATGCAGTGAATTTGTAAGAGAATTTCACATGCAAGTAGTTTTTTAGTGAGTTTAAAGTAAATAGAGTTTTAAAGACCTATTTTTATATTCAATATAAAGCACAAATGTGCAGAAAATGTAGAATGACTTACAAAAAGGGAAGCAAAAGTTCGTAATATTTCATGTATAAAAGTAATACCTTCTTTGGGGTGAGATTCTCTTAGAAAACCCAATACTTATGCCAGTGCAAAGATAGGAATATTTTAAAAACTCTTAGAAAAAAATTGTGATTGACAGCAATTTAAAAGGAATGACTTCTGTAGATACAAGGAAACCCCTAAAGCAATATGGATAAGAAGGGGTGAATGGTTTTCAATGATGAACAACAACCTGGAAGTGTGAGAATGGAGGTTTCAATCCTTATTAATTAATCAAATTTCTTCTTTTGTGGTTAGTTACATCTGGATTTTCTGTGAAGTGCAATCTTGCAGGATGAAAAAGTGCAAGGGTGCCAAAATTCTAAGACTTGTGAAAGTTCAGAAGCAGGTTTGATTTAGAATTATTGAATAAGGATTTAGATTTTGGTAATTCACACTTCCAGTAAAATCAAGACATTGATTTACTGCTTGAAGAAATTTGATCAAGTAATAATGATTAATCCGGGAACTCCCATTGTCACAATTTGTTTTTGTTTCCATCATCCTGCTTATCTCCAAAACCAATTTGCCTCAACTCCTGGCAAAGCCAGGGAGAAGAGTTATATGCCATTGTTAGTTCATTTACAATTTGTATCTGGTTTTGCTCTTGTATATATGTTGGCGTTTTGGAGTCTTTACATAAATGCTGTGATACTTTTTTTCTTATTTCCTTTTGGTTTTTGGTGGGCTGTTTTAAAATGGAGGCCTGTTTTCCAGTGTGGGACTTTTGATGGTTACAACATTTCAATGATGTTGCATGATGGCCACAGGTGGGGGAAATTGAATGTTTTAGAGCAGTTTTTCAAGCATGACACTTTTAAAATATGTAATTTCAAAGACTTTTCAAGGCCACATGAAATTAGTTTTCATAGCCACTCCAGGTCTTGGGGGGAAAAGCTGAAAAGTACTTTTGTTTAGAAGTCTGAGTGATGGTGGGGGGGAAACCTTTTCTTGAGGTTTTTGCATGCCAGTGCACGGCCTATTGCTGTGAGAGGAAGAAGATGGTAAGGCTGCTTGAGGCAATGCACTGGAGGACAAAGTGTTTTCTAGCACTAGAAAAAGAAAATGCATGGCAAAGTTTTGTCTTCTAGTAGACTATATAGCATGCAGAGTTTAGTATGTGTCAAAACAGTGTATGACATTGCTGTATCAAAGTTGTAAAATTAAGCATTATTTATTGAAAACTATGTATTTTTTTTGTAAAAACCTGATCACCTAGAGGATTAATATCAGTGACTTGTGCTAGTGCTACAAACTTAACCAGCTTCTTTACTACAGTACTTGATATGCAGTGTTAATGCTCAGGGTTGAAACCAGTCCACTCCAATGTCTTTTTTTGCAAGAGTTTTTAAATAAAGGAACAACATAATGCAATTGTTCAAAAGACTCTAATAAAAATGTGTGATCAATCTTCCTATGTGGTTTTACG